ATAATATAATTAAAAATGTTTTCAAAAATATAACCATACCACCAGCTAGATACTTCGTACATATAGATTCTATTTCAACGATTATATAAAAAAAATTCTCTTGCACCCATTTCCCTCTTTCTTCTGAAAAAAATTCATGAAACTACGAGAATTTCATATATTACCACGGATAAAACATTATTATACTCGGAATTTTGTAAAATAGATTAAAACATAATAGATAGGACTTTTATAATTGCTTTTAAAATTGTCTCTCTTTCTCTCTATTCTGTTTATAAAATACATAACAGACTACAATCGATTTCAATTCGACACTCTAAAATATCCAACTCCATTTCACGAGAAATGTCATCGTTATTTAATATGGAGTGAAAAAAGAGTGAAAAAAATTTAGTGAAGCAAATCTAATAAAAAGAAATATATAATAAAATAAAGGAATAGAAGCAAGAGGAGGATGATTAATGAATAGAAATTATCGCGCTTTAGAAATGCCTGGAGATCACTTTGCTCCTTTTGTTATACGTTAACGTACATCCCAATCTGCATGTAATTTCATCCTAAAGTCGCACAACTTTTGAGAGTGATGTGATTGCAAGGCCAAACAGTGACCCATGCTTAAGGTCGTGTTACATTTACGAGACCTTATGTTACTGAACTTATGTGGCTCGTTTCAGTGTAGCACGTACGGATAGAATAGAGTTGCAACGAAACTGCCGCAACCAGCTTAACTACTGCTGACTTTATTTTCTCACTTTTCTTCTTAATTGCACATTCAACAGTATTTTCGAATCATTATAGTTAAGTTTCACATTTTTTATAAGATTATTTAGTCAGTATTACGCGAAAGAATAAAAGTGATTTTATATTACAAACTTGTATCTTTATATCGAAGATCTCATGATAAATATCATTATAAAATTCGATTCTTTTTCACGCGTCTGTCTTTTCTTAATAACAACGCCAAAGAAATCAATAAACATTTAGAGTGTCGTAATGTTACTTTACATTGATTTTTTTCACGTGCAATTTTGTAGAAACCTTTAATACTTTACTCAACAAGACTCAAGAAGAAAAGCTAAAGAAATAACTTTGCAATCTACACAAAAGCCATGAAATTATAACTATTAGAAGAATACATTATCATTGATGCAAAGCTTAAGAGAGTTTCGCTATTCCTGAAATGTCTCTGATTTCAATTTTCGTGTGCAACGATTTCAGATCACATCGACACCTGATCCACCCGTCTATCCAACCGTGACTCTATTATTTAAACAACCCTCTTCGTGCAATTGACTTCGCTTCTCGCCATGCTTTTTCGCTCGGTTTGCCTCGACCCATTTTCGTTCACGAGAGCCATACTCGGAAAAGAGGATATAATCGTAACTTCTTTGCTCTCCGAGTCGAGTATATCGGCTAACACAGCCTTTTCGTCGAATGCGTTGAATGCAATAATTGAGAAACACTGAACACTTGGTAGAAATCGATACGATATCAGGAAATTACCGTGTGCATTACGATTTTATCGTGTGCCGAACCGATGATTGTCTTCTTGACACGGGAAGATAAACGAGCAGCGATTTACGAGGGCCTGATTACATTTCACACCGGAGTACCCATAGCCTATCGGCCGCGGTACGCAAAGAGATACACAGAATGATAGGGAGATCTCGTACAACAGGGCTGACAACGAATCTGAAAGGTAGCTAGGTGTAAGTGAGATTATAAGAGAGGGATCCTCGGAATCCCCGACGTGCCGCTGAGCTAGTGGAAAATAGCGTGACGTCTAGCAGAAAGTCCGGCTTCTTGTCCGACTTTATTTCAACCGACGACTCCACCTCCGGAATCAGCGAGATGGTGATCTGGTCGGAAAGCCGTGAAATAACAGGCCTGCGACGCGCAAAGTGCTCTTTTTCGCAAATTTATAACTGGCCAACGCAATTTCCTCTGTTCTCTAATATAGAATATTTCTATAATATTAAATTAAATGTAGCGCCATAAATTCGAAAAAGAAACCTATTATTCTCTTTCCGTCACGAGTTTTCCTCAATTTTCGAGTTATTAGGGACAACGTATTTTTAAGATTTTAATTCTAAAAAGTAATTGGCCGAATGCTTAATTCCTATAAAACTTGGACTTTTGTAAACATAAAATCTTTAGCAATTTCCTGAATTTTAAATTACAATACATGCATTCCAAAAATATAAACTTTAAGAATTCATTATTGCATTCTAACAAAAATCAACGGATGAGAGAGACAATGTGTGTGAGTGAGAGAGAGAGAGAGAGAGAGAGAGAAGTGCAGTGGTGCTTGTCTAACACTAATTGCCGGTGGAATTTTAGGATCATTCGACACGCAATGTTTCGAACATCTGAATTGAAGCGGTAACAGTGTAGGTAATCAAAGATTCGCGTGTAAAACACCGACAGTTCATCGGATTCGTGCACTATAGTACGCATCTACACGAATCCGATCAAGAGGTACAACTGGATTATATCGCATGTACACGCGATTGGAAATATCAATGTAAACCACATGAAACATATAACATTTTAATTAAAATTTAAAATTTATTATCATTATTAATAATTATATTAAAAGCGTAAGATGTTGCCGCAAACAGAAAGGAAAAAAAATAGTAAAAGAAAAAAACGAAGGAGGTAGAAAAGAAGGATAAGAAATAAAAAAAGGGAGAAAAAAGAGAAATGGTGATATTCATGTAGATAGCAGTAATTCGTTTAAATCTACATGGCGATTCACGTAGTTTCTTATATATTTGAATGTATTAATTATTAAATAGATGTATCGATATCTTAATTTTCGTCTATGTCTTTCTTATGAAATATTTATGAAAAATGCTTGCAAAATTATCTAATAATTTTATACTTCAAAATTTCATCGTCAAAAGTGAGCTCTGGATATACGATTATCCGAGCACCTGCTCCTTAACGAAAGGCAGCCTTAATAAGAATGCAGCGTCATCAAGTGCTAGGTAAGCAAGTCAATCAGCCACGCCTGATGAACCGGAAAGGATGGTACAACACAACACGCAATAGCCAGTAATATCCTTTGAAGCTAACGACCTCATAAACCAAAGATCAGCCCGTTAATTTATGAACCATACGCAAGTTCTTTTTTTTTTTTCTTGTAAAAAAGTGAGATATTTCTGTTTTGTGTATATGTGTATGTGAGCATGCACAAAGAAAAACGAACCATTCTCCTCTAACAACTAGTGTTTACATTATTAATTTTCTATTAAATAAATTTCATGAAATAAATCATCATTTTAAAATATTCGATATTCGTTGCGTTTTCTATTAATGCAAATTACTATCATTTTTATTAAAAAATGCAATATGATTTTTCTAGGGATAAATGCATATTGTAATAAATCGATAACGAACTTATCGAAACGATCAAAATTTAGACTGAATGTCTTTACATTATAAAGATATTAAAAATGGTCTTCGACAAATATTTGACTAAATTACTGATTTGTATATATTATTCTATTTCTATGCAAATCTATTGATTTTATACATATAATATTCATACAACTATCTTCAAATATTATTGTTATAGTTCTATATCGAAAATAATAATTTGCAAATCGAATAAAATGTTAATCTAACTAATGATATATAAGTAAGAAATAAAAAACAAATTGTAAATTTAATAGAAAATCTATCTAAAATATAATTTGAAATTGACAAGTAATATTTAATCGCGGAATATAATTGACGCGTAAATGTATCGCTTACGAACTTCCCACGGTACTTCCTATCGCACCGTGCATCATAAATGTCAATTAGCGGCACAATACCTCGCAAACATGAGAACAACGCCAATTTACCCGCTTTCATGTGCCACACGTCATTATCTCTACGATTTTGCGCCTGAGTATTTTCAAATTCTCCTAATTATAGAACAACTATTAAATGTTCAACGAATATGCAACTATTATCTCAGGCAAGGAATTTATTTTGTTATATATTTTGGCGTACATATAATGCATGTAATTTCAAATTGAACATTAAAACCATGTATGTACAATGATATAATATAATATTGAATGCAAGTTTATACCTGTGCAACATAATGAGAACATTTATCTTCGAAAGCTTAATTATCATTTTATATTTAGATATATGTATATACATTTCGATTCGTTTATTTCGATTAACTTTGACTGCTAATGTTGAAATTTATGAATTCAATTTTGAAATTAATTCTGTTTTACAATACCCGCGTATTTGATCTATGCCGATAAATTCTCTACACGCAATCCCTACAAGTGTTTTGAAACGCCAACTTTTGTCCAGAAATACCAAGTCTTTCATCTAACTAATAAGCGAAGAACACAGCCGAGAATATAACGGAAATTATATGGATGTCTAATTTTCAATGACGATGAGATTCTTTGACTACAGGATGCAATGAGAGATAGAATGGTTGCTCCATCTTTAATTGAGTTATTCGTTTATACTGGATTTGCATATCAAAAATACGTAGGTTTTTATACAGTGTTATAAAACGCGTTCATGAAATCCATATGCCTGAACTATCTATCTTTGTTGAAGAAGAACGTATTTTTTTATATGATCCTACACTGAAAAAAAATTTATTGAATTCGAATAAATATTTATTTCAACACTGTTCAATAAATCATTTATTTGAAGCTAATAATAATGATTTGATGTGAAAAATATTTATTCGATATAGGAAAATTCTTTTCAAAACAGATAAATATTTATTAATTTAATTTTTTCAGTGTAAAATTACATTCTCGAGTATCTTGCTCATTTTATTTCTTTTTTCTGCGAATTTTTAATTATTAAAAGCCATCGATCAAATTCGAAGATAGCATATTATACAAAAAGATGACGGATGTAGTGTATGTATGTGTGTGTGCGACATGTAATAAGTAAAATTTTTTCCAGCCACGAATAAACGATCAACATGTTATTAATTCGAACATTTTGCCCGTTTTGCATTGTTTCAGAACTCTGAAATATCGTTGTTTGAGACCAATATTCGTTTCATGGGAAGTCTGCTCGCTTGTTACGCTCTCACGGGGGATGTAATGTTCCGGGATAAGGCGGCGCAGCTTGGCGAACGGATGCTGCCTGCCTTCCAGACGGAAACCGGAATTCCTCATTCCCTCATCAACCTTCATACTGGGGTAAGCGCGGCTTTTCGTTACCATAATTCGCCAGTGCTCACGTCAACATGCCAAGAGACGGGTTCGATATATGTACCTTGATATTAACTTCGTTTCAGAAAAATAAGAACTTACTCATTTGCCGTACTGAAGCAAAAGATATAACACGGGCAGATAATATCGAAAATTTATATAAAATCTATCAAAACTATCAAAATATATATGCAGGGTGTTTTATAGTATAATTAAAATTGATACCCGAACAGGCAAACCGAAAGGAGAAGTTCTTCGTAAAATTGTTTCTATTCATCAAGTTTTTTTAATGCTGAAAGTTAAAAACTATGACAAAAATAGAATTTTCGGTTGGTTTCTATAAAAACGATCAACTAGTTTCATATATGTATAAATAACGTTATTTTTACAAATCACTATTATCACACATTAATTAAAATAGAAACAGAAAAAGATGGATTTAAAGTATAATAAAAAAAGTGAATTAATAATTTACGTCACATATGTTATGTTATTCATTTTCGTTATTTTTCTCGCTGTAGTTTTCGTCATGCGAATAATCCGTTAGCTTATGAAACATGCAGTATAATCATAAAGTACAATTATCGCGGCCTTTTGCTCTTCCATGATTATAATTTAAGAAAGGATTACCCCAGGGCGTGGTATATTTCCGTTTTTGCATGCCTCTTGTCAGGCATCATAAATGGCAACGATGTTGCGCTTTAATTGAAACGATTCCATCAAGTCACGATTGTCGAAATAGCAGCGCGCGATTAATATGCAAATTCTTAATTGGGTGGATAATGAGGCCGCAAAAAGAAGATAAGTCTTTGATTTTTTCTTATAAAGAAAAAATCTATAAAATAATAATTTATCACTCACCAGTTGTTGCGCAACAGCGAAGTTATGATCGCATTGAAGCTACGCTGATCTGTAACATACAAATAAAATCCACATTGTAGCAACGTCAACAGTAATTAATATTTCAGACTATTGTGTGCATTGCACTTTATGTTTTTTACACATACTCAGCAGAAATATAATTAAAACATTTTATAATTTTTAATTTAATAATTACAACTAATAAATATTCACCTCAGGGTTGCTCCGCTGATGCCCGATGTCTCTCTCAGACCTTCTCCTCCTCTCAGATTATCGACGTCTTCAGCTTAAGTTAATCTATAAAATAGAAATTAAATCCAAATTGTAACAGGACCTCAAAATAATTAATATAAAAAATTAATATTAATAAAAATAAAAAAATAGTAAAAAAATTAATATTATATACATTGAATTTTATATTCGAAGTACGATACTATACTTTTGCGTTATCGCTAGACACTAATTTCACATGCGCGTGAACAGATTATTAGGTTGAATTATGTTGACCGTTGGCAAAAGATTTTACATTGAATTTCTTACAAAATATGCGTTTCGAACAATTACGACCATATATAGTCAATAAGCATCGAATCTGGTACACAATCTTGTCGGAGAAATTGACACAGAACAAAAGTGCCATAGCGTGAGGAAACGAGAAATGAGAGAGGGAGAGAGTCGGATTTAATTACAACGTGCAACGTGTTCCGCGCGATTGACCCTCGCTTGATAACCTCGTAATTTCTATTAGCGTTCTTAATGAACGCGACTAATTGGCGGCTTTTAGCGTGTCCATCTCTGGGCGCCATAATTTTTTATTAATTTTGAATGGCATGAAAGGAAAGATACGAAACAATAAAAGTTGTTTATCAGCTTGAAAATTCCATGTTTTGCTCCGGAATGACGTTTGTATTTGAGTAAAGCGCATATTTTTTTCTTATATTTGAAGAAAATAATATATGCGACACAACTTTTAAACGAAACATGTTATTTATAAAATATATATGTATCAATTATTTATATCTTTCTTTATCTCTTTATTTATATAAACGCAAAGAAATAATAAATATAGAATATGTAAAGTTTTATATTATTATTATTATGTCATGAAAAGGAATATGTAATTAAAATTTTAAAAAAATTAAAATTTAATTAAAAAAGTCATACACGCATCATCAAAATCGTCCATTTGTCTTACACGATGAAATTATAGATTTATTTACTTTGCATAAATTCGCTGCATAATTGTGTATGTTAATGTGTGTGTCATAATCACAAAATTCTAAATTTCTTTAATATGTTACATTTATAGAATTAACACACGCAAGATCTTAATATGCAAAACAGAGCTGGCACGAATCAATATTTTTATCGATTTTAACTTTATCCTTTTTTCTACCACTTATAACATAACAAAACTTACGTTTTATTATATTATACTTCATATCTAAGAGTTAAGATATTTATCATATCTATTCCACTTTATATTACTTTAAACATCGTATATATCTCTTGCCATCGAACTAGATAGTTGCGCTTATTTTTCAGGCGAGCAAGAATTACGGTTGGGCGAGCAGTGGCTGCAGTATTTTATCCGAAATCGGAACGATGCATCTTGAGTTCACTTACTTGAGTGATATAACGAATAATCCAGTGTTCAAGAGCAAAGTCGAAAACGTGAGAAAGGTCCTGAAAAGCTTGGAGAAACCAAAGGGTCTATATCCGAACTATATTCATCCGAGAACAGGAAAATGGGGTCAACGTAAGTGAATTTATGTTAATCCTATACATTTGGATTAATATTTACAATACATACAATACCAGCACGAGCATACATTTGCTTAGCAAATTGCTTTGCAAATCATTTCAATAGAAAGGATAGTATTTCGAAAACATACAATATAATAGTATATCATAGAGATCTAATTGTTTATAGAGATTTATTGTCCTTTGCATAATTTTTTCCTTATCGGGAAATGTGTAATAGAAACAGTAACTCGCGTTCGTACTTACATTTATATATTCGTCGTAAAATAAAAATATTAAAAATTTCCGTCCGAATTTCCGTCGTCAATCAAACGATGCTGGACGGACATAAATATATCCGGGTGACTTATTACTATCATTTCGCATTTAATAAATCTTTAGACTTTAGACACACATAGAGCAGTACATCTTGTGCGAAATAAGTTTTTTCATCCGACAGTTATCAATTACATCGCGAGAAAATAGTTTCGTATAGTCGCGAGGTAAAGAATTCGCACACCTTTAGTTTCCCCTGTTTTCTTTTCTTTTTTTTTTTTCTTGTATCTTAAAGCGTCGGCCCATGTCACTTCGCGAAAAGATACCCTGCCGCGGCATCGTCATCGCCATGTAGCCGATCTTGAATATCGCATTTATCATTCTCTGCCTCAGGTTCTAAAAATCCCCCGGGCCTGCATACTCTCTCATTGCACGTATGACGAGATCCTCGAGAATATATATCATCCAAGCCGTTCGGTATCTAGCCCCATCACACATCCTTCCCACGTTTTTCACGGTTCCGCTCTGGTGGACATTCGTACAATGAGAGAAAAAAAGAATTTTGAATGAACAGACAAAATTAGTAGCTTTGAGGAACAAAAATATATAGTAGTTGATTTAAACAGTTTAAATAATTAATGCAACAAATTTTTTTAATTATTATGTTTTTATGTTACACCGATAAAATTTACTATCATATCGTACCGTACGTAATTTATCGCGAAAATGAATAAATGTATTTAATTTTTTTTTTTTTCGTCAAAATCTCGCAACATCATTATCAGCCATATCTTATTTTTATAAAAAGATGTAGCATTGCTGCCTTTTCGTGAATAAAATTAATATTCAAAACATAGAAAGAAAATTCGTCATCAAATCATAATTAAAATATCCGTTTAACAAAAGCTTAATCTTGCATTGGTCGACCGACTCTTACACATCCTCGCGCATCCTAACATTTTCAATTCTCAAAGAAATAACGATCAAAGAGATTCGTCAAAGCTAAGCCGTACTTCCTTTCATCGCACAAGTCTTAACATAAAGTAGAAACCGTGTTCTTAGTTAGCCCAAGGCACCTAAGAATTAGCTCGGTAGAAATCAAGGTCTGCCCTTTGTTTCTCCGTCCTTAGACATAGCCGAAGTAGTACGGATAACAAACCTCTCCTTTCCAAAGAGATTCGCCCAGTATTCCTTTATCTCATAGCGATTACCGTTATTGTCCATTTAAAGCGGTATCTCTTTTAAAACAGTCAAGTTAAAGCTATCTGACAAACGAGTCATCCGCAAGCCTCTAATTTCACTTCGACATAAAAGGAAAAACAAAAATAATTGGCGATGCACTAAAGATTTTCGCGAGTGAAAAAAAAGTAATATTATTTTATTATTTCTTTTTTAAAAACGGAAAATCTGTATTTTTCATTTTTTATAATACAAAAGCTATAATATGACTTGATTTTCATTTTTTAAAAATGCCAAAAGTTCCAACCTAATACCTATATTATTAAAAAATTTATATGAAAGAATAAAAATACAGACATACTCTTGAAGGATTTTTCAAAGAAATGTCCTACGAGCTTTACTGGAATTCGCACGGAATTTACTTATGACCGAAATATTTTCGTGGAAATTGCAGATCATATGTCGCTCGGTGGACTCGGCGACAGTTTCTATGAGTATTTGCTAAAGGCCTGGATTCAGTCTGGCAAAGACGACGTCGAGGCACGCGAAATGTATGATGAGGCTATTGCAGCTATAACCGAGCATATGATCAAAACGTCCCCTGGCAAACTCGTATACGTATCGGATTTAAAATATGACAGACTCGAGCACAAAATGGGTCATTTGGCTTGTTTTGCTGGTAAGTTATACATAATTAATGCAATTATTATTATTTCCATTTTTATATCATAATCATTGAGTTTGAATATAAACAAGTACATTTACCCTCTCAAATATATTCTGTTTTCTATATATTAATATAATCGATTACTATTTAAGTTTTGATAGGATAGTAATCGATGACGATAAAAAGATTGATCATATAACAATTATTTGTTCAATTTTATCGTCACAAGCTAGAATTACAATTTATTGGAGATTTATCAGAAACGATAATCGTGCATTTTATAGGTGGTATGTTTGCTCTGGGTGCGAAAACTCTGGAAAATGAATCGTCTGACAAATACATGAATATCGCCGCTGGTCTGACCAACACGTGTCACGAGTCTTACGACAGAAGTGCTACAAAACTCGGCCCGGAAGCTTTTCACTTTATCGAAGGCAACGAGGCTAGAAGTCTGAAGAACGGCGAGAAATATTACATTCTACGACCAGAGGTAATTTGTTTATTCTCTCTCTCGTGCAAAGATAAAACTAGTACGAATTGAGATAAAGCATCGTAATCACAGTTATTATTCTCAGAAGAAATTATTCTTATTCGCACTAAATAAGTAATTTCACAACAGAAAACCACTTTTAATCACGAAAAAATATCTCACTTTAACATATATAGCATTAACTTTATATTCGTTCGCAAATTGCTTAAATTTGTTAATTTAATTATTTATTACAGAAAAATAGAAATTATAAAAATCATGTGTGTAAAAAAAATAACTATAGTTCTCTCTCCTGTGATTTTATTTTTTTTTAAACTATAATTTAGACGATAAAACGATATATTCTTCCGCAGACCTTCGAATCGTATTTCGTGATGTGGCGACTAACAAAAGATCCTAAATATCGCGAATGGGGTTGGGAGGCAGTTCAAGCACTGGAAAAACATTGCCGAGTCCCCGGAGGATTCACGGGACTTAACAATGTTTACCTGGTTGACTCGGCGAAAGACGATGTCCAACAAAGTTATTTCTTTGCTGAGACATTAAAGGTAAAAGAGAAAGGAAGCATTGTTTCGATGATTCGGTTTATACGCTATTTCTTGTAAAAGCTGACTTCAATGTTACTTATACCGGTAAAATGCGGTATTTCACAAATTTACATTTATAATATTTTAACCGCTTGGGATCACTTTTCATTTTTATGCATATATTCATTTGGAATTCTGTATAATATAATTCTATTATATAGCTATAAGAAATTTCAAACTTTAAATATATTGCTTTAGTTAAAAAATTTTCCACTCTTTCATTTTCTGTCTATCACGCCTTTATGCTTTCGCTGCTGTTTTAATTACGATAATCCAAATGCTATATTATTTAAAAAAATTATCTGATTTTAAATAAATCTTTTCTCTTTTTTCCAGTATCTCTATTTACTATTTAGCGACGATGATCTCATAAGCCTGGATGACTGGGTATTCAACTCCGAGGCTCATGTGCTTCCCATCAAGGGCAATCCCCTATATCGTCCAGCCCCTGCTTTATAAACCGGACAAGTTCGCGACAGTTTGAACGATACTGATAATTTTCGTTCGCCAGTGATGAAACCGACACATAATATGACGATACAGTGTATCAGAATGACATAACAACCGAAGATATTTACTTTATATTACGAAGCGACTTTCTCGCCTTTGTTGTATATAATATTATGTAGATTGTGAGAGTAAATGTTATCTATCGCGGCAAAACAAAACTACTCCATCGATATTTTCTTTCTTTATTTGTGTTATTTCAAAAATCTGTTTATTCGATAAATTTAATTACAAAATTGAAAATAATTATTTATATATTTTTTATTTTCCGTATATCTCCTACTCCTATACATAAATATCTGATTTTGATTACGTAACACAATTGAATTGCAAAATGAATATGAAGGAGAATTAGTCTGTCCTTCAATTAACGAATGATGCACACACATATACATATTTTAAATTAACATAATTATTTTAGGTAAACAAAAGAGAGAAAGTGCGTGTGTGTGTGTGTGAGAGAGAGAGAGAGAGAGAGAGCGCGCAAGCGCGAGCAGAATCAGAATGAAAAGAACAGAATAGAAATATTAACGGACGTTATTTAAGCCACACGTTTGTAAATAGCGATAATGAAAGCGATAGCGAAAGCGAGAATGAGAAAACAAACGAGAGAGCTATTAAATAGGAGAAAATGTTGCAAGAGTATGGATGCTTCGTAAATTTCCTTTTTCTACCGTAAAGCGGTCTCTACCAACACTTAAATATATATTCGAAATAACTATAACTGTACGTCTGTAACATTTTTAATGTTCTGTAAAAATCACGACAAGAGAGACAGTAAATTTACCCTTGTTTCTTTCTTTTGCATCAATTGTTTTGAAAAAAAAATATTCTATCAGAAGCATGCGATAGAACGTTATTAAGACTGCAAATTTTATCACATGTATACCTTACAATTAGAAAAAACTACATTTATATTAAATCAATAAACCAAATTATTGGAAACATCTTTTTAATATGTACATTGCAAATATTTGTTCAAAAGTCAAATCTTTAATAAGTTTTATTGCGTATATACAATTCAGTGAAATGTCAATTGTAATCATTACTTGAAACTATGTGAATTGCTTTTATACAGCATTGTAAGATTAAGTAAGGACGCGAGTTTCATATTGACGATACCTAACACCGGTTTTGTAGCGCTAAAAATTCGAAAATAAAACTGTCAATCAATCAAAAAAATTGGAAGAGAAGAAAATAAGAAAAATAGCGATAAACACATTTAGCCAAAAAAAGTCGTCAAAGTATCATTTTTAAAAATGTTCTACGTAACATTTTATAACGTTAACGTTTCACACACATCTCTTTTTCCGATTTTTATCGACGTCCTTCAAAAAGATTTTGACTATCCAGCAATTTTGCTATCCCCCAGTTCTATCTCCCTTTTTGACAAAGAAAAAGAGAAAAGTACACAAAATCAACTGTCAGTCTCATGATTGCGGTTCGAGCGTACGTGCTTTTTTGTATGACGAATAAATCGAAATAAAATTATATAAAGAAGAAGCCCGCGGGAGAGAATGCAGATCGAATGCGGTCGTACATTTGCAGCGAACGATGGCGATCATTACTGTGAGTCAGTCGAATGTTGTAGTTGTAAAGCAATGTAGCAACCGATTAACTAGCAAAGTCTGTAATGCGAGAGAGAGAGTAGACATGTATATAAAGATTACAAGAAAGTATTCTATACGAGGAGTGCGAAGTATAGAATGAAATTGTAGAAGAAACACCATATAATTATATAGCGCTTGTGTACTGAAAGATAAGATTGATTCGTCCAAATTGGATTCTGTAATATCCATCGAAAAACAACTAAAAACAGTAGCATATATATTCCAAAAATACGCATTTTTACGGCGTTTAGAATTGAAGTTAGTCATAATAATTGGAGTTATACAGAAGATGAGGAAGAAGAAAAAACAATAACGTTTCTCAAATATTGGTCTCAGATAGGTTTTTGTTTTTTACGAATTCATCTCGTGAACGAGCTAATTTTTGTAAAACGTTCTCCTTTAGTAAGTTTAATTCTTGTGGTGTCTCTTATCGAGTTTACGAACAATCAGCGTCGCACTCGTCGGTGATGAGAACGATCGGAAAGTTACTTAATATATATATATATATATATATATATATATAGTGCAGTTCTCACGCTACGTTTTTCGTTAAGATGAAGTTCCAAAGACGAGAGACTTTGAAACATCATCTTCAACAAACGCGCGAGATAGAAAAATATATACATAGAAAGATTTATAAGTATGAGATTTATATATATATCTATATATATATATATATATATATATATATATATATATATATATGCGAGCGTGTACGTAAACATTCATTCTTATGTGTCCGAATGATAGCGAAATGATTGAATGCGCGACTATGTATTGAATTTTAGCGCGTGATAGTCGATAATAATCGCATTATCGTTTTTATTTCACGTCACCGTCGGACCTCCAAGAGGCTCACGCGGTTGTATCATAATGCTTGTCAACACAATTTCGGCAAGTATTTACTATTATCTAGAAAAGAGTTGCACTAAGTTAGTCGATGTTAATCGCTGTTGACTAAGTCTTCTTGGACTACATTATAGCTAAAATTATATTATCTAGAGAGAAACAAAACCGAAATGTTAAATGACTTTTCATGTTATGTACGCATAAAAATGTTACGTATAAAACAATGTCTTTGTATATATTCTATGCGCAGACGATTCTTTGCGTATCTCGTAAACGAATCACGATCAGTTAACTATTGGTGCAACTCGCTCAAGATAATTGCTAAAACAATGTACAATGTTTCATTCGATAAGATATCATAAATAACAAAATAACATTCATTTTGTAACACAAGATCCATTTTATATCACAAAAATAATCTTTCATCCGTTGTTGATAATTAGAATAAACTATCAGAAATTAGAGAGATTTGACGATGAATTTTCCTTATCGTGATAAATAAAATATATGGATGCTGATACTTACGACATTCAATAAGTAATCATCTCTTAAATATTATCTTAATATCGTCTGATTAGGAAGATTCACCATTAAATCTCGTAAACTTCCAATTCCCAATTGACAACACAGTAAACCCTGGATCGTGTATATGTAAGAATAGTAATAACATCAAGAATAATGGCAAGGATGGCAGTGTCCGGCGACGATGATGACAGTAATAACGATAGCCTATACATACATTTGTGAATAGATATTTAATAATTTATTGTTAACTAGAGTATTTTACTTGGACTTCACTGAACGGGGTTTTGGGTACAATAATCTTTTCTTATGACAGATAATGACAGGGCTTACAGTTTGTTTATCTGACAAGGAGTGAAAGGGATTATGAAAGAGAGATCAAGAGATAGGGAGAAAACAAAAACTAAACTTTAGCTTTACTCGCCTGGTCTTTATATGATGAGCGAGAGCTACACGCGTCACAAAAAAAAATATATATATATATATATCGTTGGAAAAAATGTCACGAAGTTTTCTGGGATGCGAACTATACTTGTAAATACAATACACAATCTAGTGATAACGGGGTTTTACTTTAACAGCTTTACGTAATTATTACTTTGTCATGATCAGTGAAATAAATAAATATTGATAATATGTTATATTGTACAACTCCCATTATACAATTTCCTCTCCAGAAATTTATCCTAATTTCGAAAATCTCAAAAATATTGACGATGCAAATTTATAACCGTATAAAAACTTTGTAAACTTAATTTATACAACTTTCAAAATAAACAGTTATAACGTACAACAAAGATTGCATCTCTATTACCGTCGATTGACGTTAATTGTTAGATTAAACGATAGTGTGTTGCATGAAATATTATTTATCAGTCGAGCTACCCATAATCCTTTAAGTAGATTACTCTCCTTTAATGAATCCTTGTATGGCTTGCCTATTAAGCTGATCCTTATTAAACAAATAATCAGTCAGAAAGCTTAAGTTCACATCCATAATAATAGAACGATTTCATTTGCTAGTGATTAATTGCAAAATGCATATAAGAGTTTATTTTCAAAACATTCGTGATTAGCGTTAATTTATCATGCTCATTTTACGAGATACATATATTGCTAATTTGAAAATATAATCTTTATGAAATTAAATAAATTTAAAAAATCTAAAATTGACGCAAAATACAGTAAAACAATTATTTTGATTCACTACTTTATATAGCTTAAAATATTCTATTCTTTTATCAATAGATGACAGTTACAATTAAATAAAATAATAAACCAATCGAACATTTAATTAATTGCTCTGCAATTTTCTGAAAAATATCTATATTATATTAACGAAATTCGTAAATTTAATTATTTTTTAATCACGCTTGATTAATTTAATCTTTAGTCAGCCTGCTTTCTTATTTGGACTTTACATTCGAATTCTATTATATAAATATAAATTTTTAATGAAGACCACCACCTCCACGGTGGAACTACCGTGAGGTAGTCTAGTGGGAAGAAGTAGAGGAGGAGGAAGAGTCAGAAAATTAGAGCGACTCACGATGAGATAGATCAGTCTCCCTCGCGTCGCGCGTTACTTCGATAGCGTTATTTGCATCAGGTAATCTATAGAACGAATAAGGTCTAACTAATTTCTCATTTCTAATTTTTCCTGAATTCATCGTTTCGATAAACAATTTCTCATTGTTATCTAGAGATTTTCTAAATCGTGCTCAAAAACACTCGACGAAGCGAGAACACGTTTCCGTGTAAAATCAAATTTTGTAAAGAACGACAAATTGAAATTTTGCAAGTCCAGCAAATTTCTATCTGAATATATGAAATATCAGGTGAAGCAAGGTTTGCAGAACAAATTAGGCGAACAATATGTTATTTCACATCGAATAATTTTCTAATACAAGATTCAAGCTAGCTCTCTCGATTGCACGGCGATACAGCTGATACAGCGAAACCGGAAGAGTATACCATTTCTCCGATGCGAAACAGTTCTCCACTGTTCTCCAGTCTTTTCCTAAGTACAGTCGGCGCTATTATTGCAGTGCGGTTTAAATATAGATAAGAACGCGTATTTTCTTGACGTAAATCGCACCGCTCTTTTTATCTCAATTCAACGTACCGCCAAGATCGAGACGCTATCGAAGATTTTTGCATCATGAAAAAGCTCATGTTGCGACTCCTTCTTGCATCTTGTGTTCTAGGTGAGTCTTCAATATCAATTTCTTAAAAATCAGTATACTATTTGTAACTATTGCCATTTTGTAATTAACTATAATTTTTTTCTAAAAAGTCGCATTTTTCAAGTAGAAAATATTAACAAATTAATACGAGAACAGCACAAATCGATATTTTGTTGTTATCGCTCAACTTATATTGTTAAAATTTTTAAATTGTTGAGTAACTGAAGTCGCACATGCGACGTTTCTTGCAAAGTGTGTTGATAGAATTTTATATATACAACGCCAACAAAAACATTTGTTGGACACATAATGCGAATACAATAAAATAAATAAAATTACACAAATGTGATAAAGAAATATATTGATATCGTGATTATGCTTCGATTTAAAATTTATTTATATTTTTAATAATTTATCTTTCACCTATTAAATATGCGCGATCTATTAATATATCAAAATAATTAAATTCTTATAAAATGAAAATGACATAGTGCATAATAAAATCGCAATTGTCAAAATCGTAAAAAAATGAGAAAGGAGTATTGCGATTATCAACACTATAATAAAAGTAATAATGTAATAAAAACAAAAGATTACATAATAAAAATAAATTATGCAATAATTTATATAACAATTATATTGATATGTTCGATTTAATTTCTAGGACAACAATAAATTTTCTTAGCGTTTGATAAAATCGTTTCTAAACAATTTTTAACTCAATAAAATTGAATCTTCTTTTTAGATAAAATTCTTCTCTCACGGAATAAATTTGTTTATATGTTTATTAGAATAATTTATATTAAGTTTTTTTTTAATTTTTTCTTAAGCACGTATGTATATACATGTACATTAAGTGTGTATATATATATATATATATATATATATATATATATATATAATAATTGAAATTCCCAATTTATAATTAATTTATTATAGTAGTATCCATAAAACATAAAAAATATAAATAAAAGTTATAACAACGTATGAATACTTTACTTCATCCAAGAAATCTTCAATTGTATATTCGCACTTATATGTGTCAACAAATATCGAAATAATAAAATAGTAGTGAAACCAGATTTTTAAAATCTAATAGAAATGTTTATTTATTAAACTAAATTATATATTATTGCACAATTCTAGTTTATAAAATCAAAAATTATACTGAATAATAGTTGTCTATTCTTAATAATATTGAACAAATTTTTTAAGATGTATTCCGAATGTAAGAGAAAACAATATTGTAAATTTTATTGATATGCTATAAACTATTTTGTATGAAACACATTATATGCTTGCGGTCATTTCAATCATGGCCGGAGGTTATTAACGATTTAAGTTCAATGTCATATCCTCTATGGGTGTCACAAACGGTCACAACACTCTTTAGCTCCCCTGAAGCCAACGTAATAATATTTTATAATCATTTATCAATGCCGCATGTATAATTTTTACTAATAATATCAATGACCTATTGATTACAATATATAAAGTTTATGGTTTTAAAACGAAAATCTCAACACATAAAAAATAGCATGTAATAAAATCATTTTTTACTAAAATTCTATGAACGAAAATTAAATTAGAGAATGCCTTAGTATAGAAAGGTATATGTATCTTGACGCAAACTTATATTTATATACCTCGTCATCTTTTTCTAGAAAATACTTTTCCAACGAAACATAATTACGTCAGCTTCCACGTCATTGTCAAAATTTGTACTCTTAAATAAAGGAATGCAGTCATACATCGATGAGTTAAGATTCTAATAAAAATTAAATATTTTAATAATTTTTTTCGTGTAAAAAAATTAACCTTTTTCTACTTCTACTATATATTTACAATAAAAAATTTAGACTAAAATACTATGCTAAATTGGATATTCGATATAAATAGAAAAGAGATATATTTTTACATCATATATAGCATATTTGAAGAAAAATCACAATATGTTGCACATGATGCAAATTTCATAAATATAATTAAATTTATACATATCGAATTAGAAGAATGACTTTCAATCTTAATTTATAATGATAAGGCAATTAAGAAAATATCGTCATAAATATAGCTTTTATAACAATATTTTCTTAATTGTCCTATCATTATAAATTAAAATGAAAACCATTCTTCTAATTTGATATCTATAAATTTAATTATATTATCGATAATCTGCGTACCACATATGCAAATAAAATCAGTTACGCAAATTTCATAACGCACTACGAGTAACGTAACATAATAAACGTTGGAATTTGGCTGCGATCGTGCGGTGAACGCACTTCAGAAGAGACTCAGGTTGGCCTATAAATAACGAAAGTTTGCGGTCGCACCAACGCTTGAAATTTAGTCGAAAATTTTACCAAGTCATAATCCCATCTGCTATCCGAAATTTTTCTTTTTTATGTCGAATGAAAGAATTATTTGCATTTTGATATATATATATATGCGTATCAATTCATCAGGCCATAAAGATTGCATAATTAATTTTCCTCTAAATAAAAATTTATCTTTGATATAATTTTAGCTTTAAGAGCAAAACAAATCATACTGTCAAACTGAAACAGAGTCTAGACTATCAATGAATTAATCGCATTTAAAACTCGATTAAAGTTACATAGTAACGACTTTGTATTTCAACAGACATATGTGCTTAACTATTACCAGGTTGAATTTATGAAAGAAAGATTGTGTTCATACATTATGTAATTAAATTGCAAGCTATGCTAAGCGTCGTTCTTTGTAGTGGAAATCTGTCAAAATTTTTTTTTGCTATTTTAAAATTTCTCTGCTATCATTTTCGTTAAGAGAGAGTATGGTCCTACAAAGTTTTATCTTAATTAAGAGAAAGCGCGAGCGATGCAATGCTTCGCAAGTTGGAGCCGAAGTTGGAGCGGAAATTGAGCGATTGTCGATACTTCCGAATACCGATTACGAGGTAATGATTCCGCCTCGATTCAACAGAAGCTGTTTATGCGCGCAGATACTTCGAGCTCGTTGGCGTTCGCTTTTACTACGAGTAAGTTGCAAACTCGAGCCAACTATGCGTAGTCGACATACCAGAGATTCCTTTGCAAACGCAAACGATAAAGGCCGATAATTTCAACGCTTCCGGCGCCCCTAAATTACGTTTGCAAAATCTGCACTACGAAACTATAATCTCTAACTTAAGTCATGCATCTTCAGTTTTGTACTTTTAAGAAAAAAGAAATTATTTATGCAAAATTATATTAATTTGTAATCTTCTATAAGATGTTTGCAACCATTGTACTATGTTTTAATAGCAAACTTTGAAGATTAATTAGAATTGATATCCTTAAATAAAGATGTCATGAATAACATTATAATTTCTGAGTTGTAAATGATTAATATTGAATTATATCGTGTAAAATTCATGTGTTCAGGTATACTTACGCATATACACGAAATCTGTCGTATATTTATTTGTGTGTTATTAATTCTCATAGATATTCTATCATTGAAAATAAATTGATGATTTCATATGGTGTGGAAATGAATAACGGATGATAAATATTTATAACTCGAAAATTAGTTTGACAATTTTCAAATATAATATCATATTAAAATATAATAATTAATTTCTAAAATATACCTTTTGAAATATTTTATGATTGTTTTATTTTATTGAAATTAATATTCTATGCTTAATTGTTGCATATGCTTGTTATAAAAGAAAATTTTACAAACTATTAAACATTCGCTTTATCATAAATTATATAACAGCAATATATCATTTTTTATTATTTTTTTAAAAGAAATTAATAAAAAATATATTATTTTAGTCAGATTAAATTATTAATTAAAATTCTTAATTTTTTATATGATATAATATGTTAGCAACACACACACATAACATTTACGATGATATAAAAGACAAGTCAAAATATTCGCAAGCATTACTCGTTTAAAATAGAAATAGAATATTAATAGATATCATGGTATTTGAGGAACACATTTGATGTTGCGACATCAAAAGTCAAAACATGAACGCAGAGATACCGGATGCTGAACGTCATTTTATATTACTATATCGTTTGCTTCGTTTTATTAACTTTCTATTTATAATTTAGAAAATATACATGAAAAGAGTTTTTCTTAGAATTTACGTTGAAAATCATGGTAATCAATAGAACAATATAGTATTGAAAGAATTTTATAAGAGTTTCTCTGATCAATATTTGTCACAATAAAAAAATATTAATATATACATAATAAATGTTATTATGTACATAGTAAAATTAATCGAACATATTTTATATATTTTATTATGGTAGATTTTCTCTATGTAGTTTGAAAAAAATTAGACCTCTTTAAAAAAAACAATGACCCTTATATGCTGAATATTTTCAACATTAAAGCTATGGTCACGCGGAGTTCATTTGATGGACTTGTCCATCGCTTCCTCACTATTCAATGATATAATACATATATTCTCAAGTGCGAAAAAAGTTACAGAAAGGAGACAGATTTATGTTTCACACACAAAGATACATAATATTGTTTCGGCAAAATCGGGGATTGTCACAAAATTATTACCTAAAATTTAAGTAAAAATTGAGACTCACCGATACGATGCACAGTAGTGGAGCTGTTAACTGTAAAATATAAATATATGGAAATTATATATAGTGAAATTTAAAATAATATATTGATAGTTTGAAAAATAAACTTATTATTTACATTGAGTTTAATAGTAAAAATAGTGAATATGGTCGCGCGGAGTTCATTTGATGGACTTGTCGATCACTTCCTTATTATTCAATATATTACATATATTCTTAAGTAAAGGAAAAGTTTCAGAAAGGAGACAGATTCGTGTTTCACAGAGAAAAATACATAATATTGTTTCGGCAAAATCGGAGAGATTTTCACAAAATTATTACCCAAAATTTAAGTAAAAATAGTAAGTATGGTCGCGCGGAGTTCATTTGATGGACTTGTCGATTACTCATTACTCAATAATATTATACCCTATTATTCAATAATATATTATATAT